TATATCATTTGTCCTTGGGATCACAGATATATAGTCTCTTAGATGATTTTTTATAGCTACTATGATTCCTCCTTATCCACGGTTTGACAGGAATTGAGGACGGGGATATCGGTGACATCGATTTCACACAGTTTAGTCTCAGTTAATCCAGTGATCAACAGCATGAGCATCGATCTGCTGGAACATAAGGCTGTGTATTACCGAATAAAGTGTATGTCTGTCAGTCTCTCTGGATGTACTACCAGAGAGCTGAAACTGCATCACTAGCTGTGACTACGGGGAGCTTGGTGCCAGGAGATTCCAGAGGAATTTACATGATCCTTCCTAAAATGGTACGATGCCTGCATGTCCTGTCCTTGAATCTGTCTGAAGACTTCTTGGTTCCAATGAAAGCAAAACCCTTTGATTTATACAGCTATTAGAGCACTCTAAGTTGATTAGACGCATCTACAAGATTTTATATGAATGATAAAAGTGCTCCTGTTGACAAGTATGGAATGTTTATTTGCACCGAGACGTGCATGTCATAACCCGAGTTGAGAGGGTATACAAGAACGTGGAAAAACCAAAGGGAGCAATCTTAGGTGCTAAAGATCTTTGAATCTTGGTCATGCTTTAAGTAGGTTAACCGGCCATGGTGTCTAAATGTTGAAATGGTAAGTCCTCGGTGATCCAAGCTTCGGACCAGTAACTAACCATTTCAATGTGTAGACGTTACCTTATCGGGAACATACCAGTGCTTAACATCGAGGCGTTTGTTTTAGATGCTTGCTGGTGTTGAGCGTTGACAAGTCATGTAGCATCGACAATAATCATGTCCACAATCACAAGAATTCTTCCTTGTACCAATACCATCCGCATGTTATATATTCACAGTTCACTAATAATACAGAGCGTTTCTGTGTACTTCTTGTGAACAACTGACTTTTGCACGTGTTTGTAACAAACACCGGCGGTGCAGTAAACGCTCAAACGCTCACCTGAAATATCAAACATATTTGACACATTCATAAACTCATTGTTTATGATATATGTTACAGTCAGTGTCCGTAATAAAGCAATATGTATATTGATTTATTCGCTGAAGTAATATGGTACTTTGATCAAAGTAACTACTGTAAGTAAGTAACAATATGTATGTAATGAATTGATTTGGTATATTAAACATTCATGAAGCTGTTGTCCATTTTTCATATAACTAATCTACTCAAAAATATGAGTAATGCACCCGTTGAGATAATGAATTACAGCATGCCACTGTTTATTTTCAAAGGAATTTTCTGCAATGGTTATAAATGATTGAATTCCATCGTGAGGACTGGATCACCCTTAAAATGGGAAAAAGTGGGTTTATAAATCCTCTTTCAGTGTTTCTTAATTCCCTTTGAAGATGACACAAAAGGAAATATCTGAGCTGTGAATAAAAAGCCATAACCGGAATGTCTGACACTGGACAGTCATCAATCTCATCATACACTCCTATACACAGTTATCAGTCCAGTAACAATGATGAAAACAATGCTGTGAAGAACAATCACTCACTCACTGACTCACTCACTCACTCATGCATTCACGATTTGAAGTTAAACATCATTTGGATAAAACTGAAAAAGCATTTTTCAAATAATGTTTTGCAACATTATACAGTAGCACAGGGCTTGGCATGAACAGCCGATTGATAGAGCCGGGCCTATTTACCAATCCGTCTAGGTGTAGTCAGGGTCGAAGTGATGTGTTGGGCAAAATGAAATCGGTTCCCGGCTCCTGTGCCCTCAGCCACCATAAGTCCACCGACATGGTCGCAAACACACAAGGTTGCCCAATTCAGTTGCCCTTTACCATCAGCAATGAAGTGCTGAGGACAGATTCTACCCAGGATGCCTGGGGTGGAACAGAACTTACCGTCAGCCATCGCTCACCACGAAGACGTTTCTATTCTTTCTTTCGTAAATTCCTTCTAAAACTCTAAAATTACCGGAAACTATTTGTAACCGTGATAGAAATAAACTCTGTCAAAAAAGAAACGCAACCCCTGTCCTCAGATATGAAAAATTCGTTTGAATGAAGTTATTGCTTCCAAACTAAATTTTATTCGAATGTATTGAAATTATACACGTAATTAATGAAGATTACCATCCAAACAACTGCATTTGTACGCATAAGTGTATTTTATTGCTTATTCCGTCACAACGCATGAAATGACCCTCATGGTGACTTCGCACAAAAAAAACACATGCAAATCATGAAAATGGCAGTTAATGTAGGGGTGTATAAAAGCCCATGTGCTTTCGTATTATATTCATTCATTTGTCGCCGAAAAGCTGTGTTAAAATGCCACGATTGAGTGCTGCCGACCGAAATATCGCCATTGGTCGTGTTCAAGCCGGAGAAAGTTTGGAACTGTTGCACGGCACCTAAATGTTCACAAAACAACGATATCCCGACTTTGGAGCCGCTACAACAACTTCAATTTGACCAACGATCGCCCGAGAAGTGGAAGGCCAAGAATCACGACCCCCTTCAAGATCGGTACATCCGGGTCCATCACCTGCGTAATCGGCATGCCCTACCAACCGTGACTGCCACACAAATACCAGGTTTGAGGAGAGTGTCAGCTCAAACGATTAGGAACCGTCTGAAAGAAGCGGGTTTACGTGCCTGTAGACCAGTTGTTGGATCTGTACTAAGCCCCCTACATCTCCGCCGACGACTCAGGTGGTGCAACAACGTAAGGATATGGACTTTACAAAACTGGAGGCGCATCTGGTTTCTGATGAATCCCGTTTTCTTTGCAACGTCACGACGGAAAAACGTGTGTATAGGAGACGTCATGAATGTTTTGCGCCCATCTGCGTCCGACAGGGGGGACAGATTTGGCGGAGAAAGCGTTATGGTTTGGGGATCCATCTCATACAACCAGAAATCAGACTTGGTGATCGTTGAAGGGAACCTGACAGCCCAACGTTGCATCAACCACGTATTACAGCCTCACCTTCTCCCGATTATTGACCAACAGACACAGATTTTTCAACCAGACAACGCCCGGCCTCATACTGCACTTGCAACAATGAACTTTCTGCAGAATTCCAACGTCAATGTCTTGCCATAGCCCCTCTAAATCACCAGACCTCAACCCTATTGAACACCTGTGGGATACTCTGGGTCGACGCGTACGTCAACGTCAGCCGCCGCCACAGACGCTGCAACAGCTCGGCGTTGCACTGCAGGAGGAGTGGAGAGCCATTCCCCAGGAAAGAATCCGGCGTCTTATCCGTTCTTGTCCAAGGAGATGCCGTGCAGTGATTGCAGCTCGTGGTGCTCATACGAGATACTGAGAAAGACGCCCCCCTGGTGACAAACTGGTGTCTGTGAGATGACTTTTGAAATGACAATTTTAAACATGCCCATCTTGGTTATTATTCTGCCAAATTTCAGACTTCTGTCTTAAATAATAAAAATGCTGTGTCGTCTTCAAACTTCAGATCAAAATCTCTAAAATACAGGGGTTGCGTTTCTTTTTTGACAGAGTTTATAAACAAAAATACGTCTCATTAATGTAGTGCATGTTAATTTTTGGAACCAATACTTATTGTAATCACTATTGTGTATGGATTCAGGAAAAACATGGTTCGATTTGAGGAGGGACAAATCATATCACAATGAACAGATAACTACATATTACAAATGGGGTATCCAAGTGCAATATGTAATGTGCAATTGTATATTTATTTTAACTTTCACATTTTTAAGTAAATTCCATAGTCAATCAATCCGTCATTAACCTGCAAGAACAAAATATGCTGTTGAAATACAAGCTTCGACATTATTTGTCATACAAACACAAGCATGAATTCTACGCATATGTTTTTCTTAATTTGGAAAGTAGAAGGGCCCTCGTTAGAGAACAATCTCCCTTCACTATTACATTTTTAAAGTACTACTGTGTACTTGTACTTTAATGTACTTTCACCAAACCATACACAGATAGCGTTTGTGTCATACCTAACATAACCACCAAGATTCCTTCACATCCATCCATAACGTATAGAGATAATATTCATATTCTCCATTTATTTAACATTGCGATTATTTTCAAAGTACCTCTGTGTACATGTGTCAAATTAAGCAAGTTTTGAGGGTTGAATATTGTAGTTGGTATGGTTTAGAAGAACAACCATATAAATGGTTTTATCTATCATGATTGTCATGAGCTTGACTGTTATGGAACACAACCAAAAGCATGCAAAGCATGAGTACAACCTTTGACTATAAAAGACCCAAATGCATCTCTCAAATTCATCCAAGACACTTGCAAATACTGGATGAGAAAATGGTACGTCTCAACGGTGCCCACCGAAATATTGCCATTGGACGATTACAAGCTGGCGAATCCAAGAGTGTCGTGGCGAGGACCTTCAGCATTCATCCCCGCACAATAACTCGTTTGTGGGATCGTTTTGTGCATTCCATTTCAACAAATGACCATCTAAGTCCAGGAAGACTATGAGTCACCACACCAGCCCAAGATCGCTACATCGCCGGGTAAACCACCTACGTGACTGCCATCGTTCCGCCCGGGACACATCCTCGATAATCTCCATGGTAGACGTTACGATAACTCTCCACTATAGCCTGGATGCATCTACGGCTCGGCCCCATAATTTTATTCCTTCCCTTGGTTGGTTTTTTATCCAATCAGGTGTCTAGGCTGGGAAGTTGAGCATACCAATCACAACTCACTTTTGCTTTTGGAATTATCTACCCAGTTAAACTTGTCAACATAATAATATATTGGCAGAGGTACTCTGAAAGAAGTTCTTGCATTTATATTTTTAAGGTTTCAGACCTGCCAATTTGTTTGTAACGGCAGCCTATCTGATTGGCTACTGTGAGAATGCGGAGCCTGCAAAGTGAGGTAATAAAATCATTAGGCTAAGCCGTAGATGCATTCAGGGTATAGTGGAGACGTATCGTAACATATACCCTGGAGATTATCGAGGATGCCCGGGACACAGCACAAGAACTGTTTTGGACCCGGAGAATGTCCGACCAGACAATCAGGAACCGTCCTCGAGAGGCAGGTATGCGTGCCAGACGTCCAAAGGTTGCCCCCTCTCCGACACGATTACGTCACAATATTGCTCAAATATTGCCGGTGTGACTTTAAATCTTAACTCACTCATCACTGACACGATTACATCAACGTCCGCGAATCGGGTGGTGTAACGCGGAGCAGCCATGTAACCTTGGAAACTGGAGGCATATATCGTTCAGTGATGAATCGCGGTATGCCCTCAAGCGACGTGACGGAAGACAACGTGTCTACAGACCACGCACTGAACGTTTTGCACCCAACTGCATCAGGCAAGTGGACAGATTTGATGCAAATAGTGTGATGATGTGGGGAACCATCCCACACACCTGCAGATCGGAATTGATGCTCGTCCAAGTCAATCTTACGGCCGCTCGAAATATTGACCAGATTCTCTGCCCTCACGTGCATCGCCTTGTCGACCGCCAAAGCGAGCTGTACCAACAGGACAACGCCAGACCTCACACAGCACGTGCTACAGTGGACTACCTGGACAATAACAACATCAATGTCCTCCCCTGGCCCTCCAGATTCCCAGATCAGAAACCAATTGATTACCTGTGGGATCAGATAGATAAACGTGTACGTCAACGTCGTAATCAGTCATTGAGTGAGTGAGTGTGTTAGTTAGTTTACGCTGCTTTTAGCAATGTTCCAGCAATATCACGGCGGAGGACACCAGAATCAGGCTTTAACAGTAACTGTTGTTCAACATGTTGTAGGAGGAATGGAGAAGGATTCCACAACGAAACATCCAACAACTGATTCAATGTGTGCCAAGTAGGTGCAGTTCTAGCAGTAAGAGGTGGTCATACAAGGTAGTAACGTCAATGTCGCCTCGTGGACAGCAGTAATGACTATGATGACTATCATTCTTGTGAAATGTGCTCGACATACCAATGTATTGCTCTACATAATTTCAATGCTGTACCATTTATTTTCGTTGATTTGTCTAATTGAATAAGACCAAGTTTTTGCTTTTGCGTTCCTTTTTTGAAGAGTGTACTTTCTTCAAGATCTAATTGATTTGTCCTGGAACATACCCAAGAGATCCAGTAAGTTTCAATGAAATCCATCTAGTAGGTTTGAGTAAAGATGCTAACACATAAATACACACACAAACAGGGTTGAATGCATACCCTCTGCAACAAACCTTCGGTTTGGGCAGAAGCAATTATGATCATATTGATTATTATGCATACATATGTTATTGAGATTCATGATATATAATGGAAGTTATAAAACACACATCACAAGGCACATTTTGACATACTACATGCCTATGTTGTGACAGGTTTATAAAAATATGTTTTTCTCACATTGGTGTAGCAGCTCGATTAATGAGTACCGATGTTCAGTTTCCCCAGAATGACACTTATAATCATCAGAAAAAATGGAACTATGTTTTTTCTGCATCCATATGCAATACTGATTACAATTATCAGTGGTTCCAAAAATTAACATGCACTTCCCACGGAAAGCATTTTTGCTACGTAAGCCCCTGCACTAATGATTGTGATGAAAGAAAATTTAATACCAAATGCACTAAACCTGTGAAATGATGAAGATTTGAAATGATGTATCATCATACGTAGATGTATAGTGCAATGATAATGAGCAGATTCGATTATCCGACAAAACAGATTCCATTGGTCCTACAAGGCAAAATGGCAGTAGGCGCTACATGAATGAATCGGTGCCAATCAGATCTGATAATGGGATGTGTAGGTCTTTTGTGTAAGTCGAGTTGATTGGCATGGGTTGTCGAGGATATACTGTTCTGTTCTGACATCCTTAATTAACCACAGTTGCCTAAATTGTATAATGCCATTCAGTGATTTCAAACGATATATCCGTAGTGCTTCGTTTCTGATACACTGATACTCTTCACTTTCAGTATGGACCCAAACTGCTTGCTTGATGACAAACAATACCAGAAGCATATTACATTAAATGTTTCTTATCACCAAGATAACATCAATGCTTTCTTAACATCGGTGCACACCCGTTTCTTTTGAATAGGTTCAATTCTGTTTGATAGTAAGTACAAGGGACTGCATCCCAAGGCGAATTACCTCCCTTTGACCAAGCGTACAGCAGTCACATAGAACCATTGTACATTGGCGAATGTACGATCATTACCAAGATAATTTTCCTCAAATAAATTTAAATGTCGATATACACGGGGGCATTACTATTCATTAAATGCACTGTATCGTCATGCTAAATGGGCTTCCAAGTCCAGTGTATCTGAATGTATGTATGTAAACTAATCAAGACGCTATATCCAATACGCTTCACTGTTGACAGTGTTGGAGATATAGATATAGCCAAGTTACTCATGTCACAAGTGTATTTCATACTTACTTCCCTGATGTGATGTGATGTTGTCAGTTGGTGGGAAGCAAGGACACGGGAAGTAACAATGGACTACACGCGTGTGTTTCTCTGTATTGTTCTATACCTTTGGCAGCTCTGTCTTCCAACTCATGGTAAGTCCTCATTTTATATTGTTGAAAGAATAACGCAATTTCTTCTTGGTAACACCGGAGTTGGCTACTTAGTATTGTCTATGTGGCAACGTTTAGGTGTGACTGGATTCTGAAAATACATTTACAAGCTTACTGAGTCAGAAAAATATAAATACGATGACTATATATGTGTGTGTTATGATTTTATCCAATCATCCAAATATCAAATACTTTTGTGTGGCTATTCGTCTTCCAAATATATAATTAGGACAATGATAGGATCATTTCAAAGATGTTTTTATACTTTTGCCGGGTGATATTGAAGACAGTATTTCAGACATGGCTGAAATTGATAATAAATATTTTACTTATGAAGATCCGGTTAAGCTTGGTCTTCAGCTACCTATGTTTGTCGTAAGTGGCAACTAACGGGATCGGGTGGTCAGATACGCTGACTTGGTTGACATATATCACTGTAACCAATTGCTTAGATCGATGCTCATGCCGTTGATCACTGGATTGACTGATCCAGACTCGATTATCTACCGACCGCCGCCATATAGCTGAAATATTGTTGAGTGCACCGTTAAACAACAAACACAAAATACAATCCTATGTTTTTAGCCATTCACACAGAAATAAGTATGTTGTCAAGAAAAGTGAGTGAGCAGGGGTGCGCACAGACACACACACACACACACACACACACACACACACACACACACACACACACACACACACACACACACACACACACACACACACACACACACACACACACACACACCACACACACACACACCGTCCTGAAAGTTTAAGTGACCATTGAAACTCTCGTCAAAATGCATCCCACCTTTCTCAAAAAGCTGTATCCGCCCCTGTTTGATGAAGTCACTTTTAAAATTCAGGTAGATATACTAACACTTGAGACATGGTCTTGTGGCCTTCTCCGGGACACAATAATTTTACAATGCTTCAATCCCCATCAAGGACACAGCCACTAACAATCTCAGTTCATAATCATATCCTACCAATATATAAAACGAAGACAGGTACATCAAAATTCATCAAATAATTCAATTTCTTTTTAAAAGGATAATATTAAAGGATAACCAACATTGCTTAAAAGATCCTTTACTGTTTCTATTTTGAAATATTTATCCTTGTGTTGGAAAACTCAACACAGTCAAGCAAGACGTGCTTGACTAACTCTATCAAGAAAAGAGCAATGTTTCCTGGGGGTATATAATTAAAATGTGAATCTGCCTATAAATACCAAGATGTTTCCTTTGCTACTTTGTCTCGGCATTGGCATCTATGTAATGCTAATTTACAGCAAAAAGGCAATATTTAAACTTGTTCAGTCCCAGTTAAAACAAGGTTTTAAACAAGGCCCTCCAGATTCCCAGATCAGAAACCAATTGATTACCTGTGGGATCAGATAGATAAACGTGTACGTCAACGTCGTAATCAGTCATTGAGTGAGTGAGTGTGTTAGTTAGTTTTACGCTGCTTTTAGCAATGTTCCAGCAATATCACGGCGGAGGACACCAGAATCAGGCTTTAACAGTAACTGTTGTTCAACATGTTGTAGGAGGAATGGAGAAGGATTCCACAACGAAACATCCAACAACTGATTCAATGTGTGCCAAGTAGGTGCAGTTCTAGCAGTAAGAGGTGGTCATACAAGGTAGTAACGTCAATGTCGCCTCGTGGACAGCAGTAATGACTATGATGACTATCATTCTTGTGAAATGTGCTCGACATACCAATGTATTGCTCTACATAATTTCAATGCTGTACCATTTATTTTCGTTGATTTGTCTAATTGAATAAGACCAAGTTTTTGCTTTTGCGTTCCTTTTTTGAAGAGTGTACTTTCTTCAAGATCTAATTGATTTGTCCTGGAACATACCCAAGAGATCCAGTAAGTTTCAATGAAATCCATCTAGTAGGTTTGAGTAAAGATGCTAACACATAAATACACACACAAACAGGGTTGAATGCATACCCTCTGCAACAAACCTTCGGTTTGGGCAGAAGCAATTATGATCATATTGATTATTATGCATACATATGTTATTGAGATTCATGATATATAATGGAAGTTATAAAACACACATCACAAGGCACATTTTGACATACTACATGCCTATGTTGTGACAGGTTTATAAAAATATGTTTTTCTCACATTGGTGTAGCAGCTCGATTAATGAGTACCGATGTTCAGTTTCCCAGAATGACACTTATAATCATCAGAAAAAATGGAACTATGTTTTTCTGCATCCATATGCAATACTGATTACAATTATCAGTGGTTCCAAAAATTAACATGCACTTCCCACGGAAAGCATTTTTGCTACGTAAGCCCCTGCACTAATGATTGTGATGAAAGAAAATTTAATACCAAATGCACTAAACCTGTGAAATGATGAAGATTTGAAATGATGTATCATCATACGTAGATGTATAGTGCAATGATAATGAGCAGATTCGATTATCCGACAAAACAGATTCCATTGGTCCTACAAGGCAAAATGGCAGTAGGCGCTACATGAATGAATCGGTGCCAATCAGATCTGATAATGGGATGTGTAGGTCTTTTGTGTAAGTCGAGTTGATTGGCATGGGTTGTCGAGGATATACTGTTCTGTTCTGACATCCTTAATTAACCACAGTTGCCTAAATTGTATAATGCCATTCAGTGATTTCAAACGATATATCCGTAGTGCTTCGTTTCTGATACTACTGATACTTTCACTTTCAGTATGGACCCAAACTGCTTGCTTGATGACAAACAATACCAGAAGCATATTACATTAAATGTTTCTATCACCAAGATAACATCAATGCTTTCTTTAACATCGGTGCACACCCGTTTCTTTGAATAGGTTCAATTCTGTTTGATAGTAAGTACAAGGGACTGCATCCCAAGGCGAATTACCTCCCTTTGACCAAGCGTACAGCAGTCACATAGAACCATTGTACATTGGCGAATGTACGATCATTACCAAGATAATTTTCCCTCAAATAAATTTAAATGTCGATATACACGGGGCATTACTATTCATTAAATGCACTGTATCGTCATGCTAAATGGGCTTCCCAAGTCCAGTGTATCTGAATGTATGTATGTAACCGAATCAAGACGCTATATCCAACACGCTTCACTGTTGACAGTGTTGAGATATAGATATAGCCAAGTTACTCATGTCACAAGTGTATTTCATACTTACTTCCCTGATGTGATGTGATGTTGTCAGTTGGTGGGAAGCAAGGACACGGGAAGTAACAATGGACTACACGCGTGTGTTTCTCTGTATTGTTCTATACCTTTGGCAGCTCTGTCTTCCAACTCATGGTAAGTCCTCATTTTATATTGTTGAAAGAATAACGCAATTTCTTCTTGGTAACACCGGAGTTGGCTACTTAGTATTGTCTATGTGGCAACGTTTAGGTGTGACTGGATTCTGAAAATACATTTACAAGCTTACTGAGTCAGAAAAATATAAATACGATGACTATATATGTGTGTGTTATGATTTTATCCAATCATCCAAATATCAAATACTTTTGTGTGGCTATTCGTCTTCCAAATATATAATTAGGACAATGATAGGATCATTTCAAAGATGTTTTTATACTTTTGCCGGGTGATATTGAAGACAGTATTTCAGACATGGCTGAAATTGATAATAAATATTTTACTTATGAAGATCCGGTTAAGCTTAGTCTTCAGCTACCTATGTTTGTCGTAAGTGGCAACTAACGGGATCGGGTGGTCAGATACGCTGACTTGGTTGACATATATCACTGTAACCAATTGCTTAGATCGATGCTCATGCCGTTGATCACTGGATTGACTGATCCAGACTCGATTATCTACCGACCGCCGCCATATAGCTGAAATATTGTTGAGTGCACCGTTAAACAACAAACACAAAATACAATCCTATGTTTTGCCCTAGCCATTCACACAGAAATAAGTATGTTGTCAAGAAAAGTGAGTGAGCAGGGGTGCGCACAGACACACACACACACACACACACACACACACACACACACACACACACAAGACGTGCTTGACTAACTCTATCAAGAAAAGAGCAATGTTTCCTGGGGGTATATAATTAAAATGTGAATCTGCCTATAAATACCAAGATGTTTCCTTTGCTACTTTGTCTCGGCATTGGCATCTATGTAATGCTAATTTACAGCAAAAAGGCAATATTTAAACTTGTTCAGTCCCAGTTAAAACAAGGTTTATTTCCGTTTCGGTTATATTGTAAAATGTCGACATGAAAATAGTTCCAATTTTTCTTTTTGACTCGGAAGTTTGTGGTCTTTTTCTAAATGAGGGAATTGAAGTCATACATACTTTGAGCAAGAAAATGATCTCTCGGGGTCAGGCCTCAAAAGCCGAACATCATGGCGCGAAGCGAGTATGGTCGTTATCCATAAATACAAAAGAGTTGGCTACATGCTGTTAATATACATGGCTGTTGTAACCCAAGGAAGCGTTATAAATATAGCTGCATGCAGAACGTTTTGCTGAAGTCAGCTGGGCGTCAAAATGTAAAGCTTTCACGTTTAGTTTGTGGATGGGTTATAGTTGGAAAAACCAGTTTATTATAGTCAACATCAATTCTTTATGTCTGAACGTACGTCACGTCTTAAGTATATATACTAAGCAGCAAAAGATACGTCAGTTCGATAACTGTAAACTCATTTAATGTTTTGATTGTATATTACCTGATCAAAGACATTCCTTCCCAAACTCAGAATGGAACCCAGGAAATGGTCTAAAAACCGCACCCTGATCTCGGAGATGATACCGTGTTCTACATGTTTTTCATGCAACTCATGCTGCACGTGCTATTCACAAGGACCAGCCCTATAAAATGCACCCCCACCAACACCACAAATGATCGCCCCCGTACTGGCAAACCAAGGGTGACCACAAGACGACAAGACCACCATGTTGTTCGACAGCATGTACAGAAACCTTTCATGCAGGCATCTGAAACAGCACGCCAGACAGTGGGAACACCAATCAGTACTGACACAGTACGCCTACGTCTTAACAGCGGGAACCTCCATTGCCGTAGACCTTACCGTGGACCTATCCTTATTATGTCCATTTCTGTAATGATTTGATTACAGTGCCTATCTAATTTTGAATTCGCACTGACGTTGTTTTGTTTTTTTTTGCTGCTGAGTATATGAACACGATTGGCATGATAAACTCAAACATGGCATTGAATATCCAACATGCATAATGTTTAAGCAATCGTTTAGCTCAGAACTGTGTATTAGCTGTGTTACCATCACTAAATTTCCTGCTTATTGAAACAGGATTATACATTAATACCCCACGGAGTAGTGGACGTTGTGTCTGTAATGATGGGTATCCTGAAGCAGAATGTCACTTGTGTCAGTGCATGATTGCGAGCTGACGTTTAATGATGACCAGCAAAATGTAAGGATCACATTTCACCCAAGATTCTTAGCCCGGGCCTATTTAGGAAGCTTAACCACTGTTGCAGCTTGATGAAATCATCATCATTGTCTGTACCACCATGGTCATTGGTTTTATATTTCATTACTTAAAGGTCACATGCAACCAAATAAAAAACATAATTAAAACACAATTATCACTTATTCATGACATATAATATACATTGCTGATTATGAAAAATAAAATAAACAAAATTATAAGCGTACAATCGCAAATAAAAAGTGCAATAATTTGTACTTGGGTTTACTTCCCTTGAAACGAAGCACCCGGGATACCGAACCCACTCAGAGCGGGTTGGCGTGCACTTAAGTGTAACGAAGGCTTTCATTGGCTGGTTCATTTGCGGATACACTCAGGGCTCTTTGTGTGTGTGTATAGAGATGTTGGGTTTTGTAAATACATGCTCAGTTTTTGTGTATAACATTTTGCAATATGCAGATATCATAACATGTCATGTGTGCAAGAATCACACCTGCCTGTCTGTGTAATTACATAATGTGACAACAGAACGAGTCATAAATCAATGCATTTTGTTTATGGTGTATAGCCTGATAGGTGTTAAGTTCAAATTGCGTGTGGTCAGTGATTGAAGTTGTGTATTACTGTAGGGAAGGCTCGGACATTCCCAGTCCCAGCTGTATTCTTGCTCTTGTACTACAACCTAAGGTAAGACGAAGCTGACTTGTAGGTACTTACATGGTAGCTGCATACCCTTCAACTAACCTAGCTAAAGAGTTGCCAATATTATGGATAAGACAAACTCTATGTATGTCAACGGACAGAAAGTGAATGTTACAACTTGTGCGACGGGCTTACACCTGAGCAAATGAGACCATGGCGGCAGAGAAGACCCGAGACATACACGATCAACCAGAGCCACTACCAATAGAGAACTGATACCAACCCAAACAACACTGTGCTACATTGACAGGGCGGGGCAATGGCAGCAGACTGTGATGCACATTGTCCGAAGAAGGATAGAGAGTCAGTTGAACGTGAAGAATGCTCCACATTGCCGAATATACTGACTGCGGATCAGTAGAATGTTGCCGTTCGTATGAAGGACATAGGATTAAAGTGGATGGCATATTGTCAGCAACCGGACTTACAGGCTTCACAAACCAGAACCAAGTGAACGACATCGTTCCCCGGAGGACAGACAACCCAGCGTCAGCTACCCTTGCCTAACACTACCAGACTTACCGATGCACACACAACATTACAGACAAGACAACAGAACCGTAACAGCAGTGAACAATGGCAGAAGGCATACCTCAAAATAATCTGTATGGTCAGCGGGCGTCCAATGCTGAAATGCAACCTGGCCACACTAGGGTCAAACATTTGCACAATCCAACGTTTGACCTATGCTAATATAACACAATCATATTTCATGAATAGCATAAACATGATGATAAAAAAGACAGTAAATAAACACTAACAAGTTGCACAAGCTACCACACTTACCAAATGAATATAAATAATAAACAACTAATATACACACCAGGCCTAGGTGACAGTTAACCACTGTCAGTCAGTCTTGCCAAGAGTGACTGAGTGCAGAAGTGTCAACCTAAAGCCTTGTATAAACAATCAGGCGCAGTGAATACATACCTGCCAGCCCATTTATAAATGAAAAGACCTGCAGAATACATACCCACTTTTTAATGTGCATTAATGTAATAATACATAATATGTGTTATAATAATAGAAATGGATATATACTGGTAACACAAAACATATAAATATGCTGACAGAAATTTGATTAAATACAAAACACACAAAGCCATGTGAACGTTGCTACATCGTTGCCATGCATCAAGCGACAGTGATTGACAGCTAGGTACATCGCAACACTGCAATCAACACCATGAAATTTACACGTCATACGCCGGGTGCGAGGCATGCAGCTTTCACCGGGTGACATGGATAGTGGATACATCAACACCCTTTCATATTACTATGTTTTTTTACATTGCGATGATTTGTTTACGGCCGAAAAGTGTAAATAGAAAACTAAAGAGCATTGGGCTTTCACTCTATTTGCCAATGAAAAAGCTTAAAACACTCCATACAGCGAGTTTTGCTCTAAGGACATCACGAGGCCCATTTATCAGTCCTTTCCTATTGTCGTGTGACATATTTATCTTGTCACAAATTTCACAAATAGGCTTAATCCTGCTCATGTGAACAGCGCCATTGTTGTGAAAGCCTAGTGAAAGGAAAAGGCGCCTCGTAAGCGTCGATGAGTGGGGAGATCAAACTTTAGGGGTCAGCTAAGTACGTCTGTTCTCGTCCGTGTCCATTGTCGATCTGTCATCTGTCACCTGTCAGATTTGGCGGGTAAGTTGATAACGTGCCACGTTCACACCCGGAAACATACGAGCAGCATCGGATGGCCAGGCCAATGTTACCCGACATACGAATGAGGAAGCACCGATCACTACATTAGTAATCTGGTTGGGTCTATACACCTATAGATATGTCTTTCTAACGCTATTTCTAAGCGAGACACGCCCCTATGGTTGTTTCAGGGCACTAACCATGGAACAAGGACTGGCCATCTCAGAGTCAGCACCTTGTCTGAGTCTAATATTTCTATTAAACGGTGGCATGGTATTAGAGTAGGGTCGTAATATGGAACCGGTAATAGTCATAACTAGTACAAGCGCTCATGCACATGATTTTTGCTGTGCTGAGCTGGAGTTTTATCACTGCATTTTGTAATTACAAAAAAACTGGTGCTTTTTGGTAGTTTTGGATTTCTTAATAAAATATGTTTTGCGTTTCCATGGCAAAACGTTTGACTTCGACTGAAATTGGTAGTAGTGCTAGTTTCCAGA